TCATTGCAGTCATTGCCGATCGACTTCTGGATGAAGGCCCCAAAAAGACACTGCTGTAAGTTTCTGTTATCTTCATTTCCATCCATCTCGATGCAGGAAATTTCTTCCGGTGCCGTGCAATCTATCAATGGTTGTCTTATGGGCGGTTCATTCTCTGCTGGAACTCATTCTAATGTCAATATGGCACAACGATGGTTCATTCTTCTTGCAACGTGATCTATCCATTGCCAATTAAAATTTTCTACCTCGGCAATGACGTCGCAGGCCCAGTCATTCGCCTTGCCATCAGGTATTTTTATTCCCAACAGACATCTTTCCACCTTGTGGTGAGAAGTCCGCAGTTTACGAACCACTTTGTGGCTGAGGGTTCACGTTTCGAACCCACAGTTTAGCACTGGGAGGACAGTGAAAAGGCTTTGATGATGAATAAATGAAACTTTTATGTTGTTAGCAAATACAGCAACTGGTTGGCTTAGACTCGCCTGTTATGAAACTACAAATGATAATAAAATCGTTACGTGTTCGACATGTACCTGTAGTTCACACCAGGCGACCGAGACACCCGTCTCTGTGTCCAGTCCACGATAAACGGTTTTGAACGAGCCACGGCCGAGTTCCTCGGCGAATTTCAGGAAACGACCACTTAGTGACCTTTCGATTGGCTTTTCCTCGAGCGCCTCCACCGATTCGGCCGAGTTAGCGTCCTCGTACTTGCAGTGTGCGATGGAGGTGGTCGAGCAACTGTGGGTCAAGTGATGGTCGTCTTCGTCGGTTGATTTCTTCTTTGACAGCTCCTGAGCGGTAACGGCTATGGTGGTGGCCGGTTGCTGTTGTACCTCGGCGGTCTGCGGCGTGACGGCCGTCGCTGGTACTGCGACAGCGACGGTACGGTTTTCGGCGGCGCCACTGGTGCCCCCCTCAGCTGTGGCGGTGATCAGCTCACGTCGTTCCTTAAGCAGTCGCTCGTGGGTAAGGCGCCGCAGTTTCTGAAGGTTCTTCTCCCAGTCGTCTTCCAGCTGTTTGATGCGTTTCTTCTCCTCAGCGTTGAAAAAATCCACCTCGGCGTTGATCGCGTTTGCCGTGTCGGTCTTCTGTACGACGAACTTGCGTCGACCGGCCCCCTTTGAGTCGTTAACCGCGCCAGTCGTCGTCGCCGCCGAAGACGAGGATGACGACAGTATGCCAGATTTGTCCTGTTTCTGATTCGACCGAATCGTTGACGCCGGTGCCGCAGGTGACTGCTGCTGCTGTTGCTGTTGCTGCTGCTGCTGCTGTTGATGTTGGGTTTGCCTAGAGCAAGACACCTTCGTCAACGGTGTTGGCGGCGGCGGAGGCGGTTGTTGTTTCGTCTTTCGTGGCAAAACGCTTTCGTGAGTCTTTGGGCTAGGGCCGGTGGTGGCTGAACTTTTGCGCGTCACTCGACCACCGTTCGCCATCGATCTCTTCCACGGTTTCGCGTGGTGTCGCCAATCGACGACACCCTCAATGGAACAAGAACGACCGCCGGCCAAAGGGATGTTCGAGAAAAACGCGTTCGTTTTGGTAGCTGATGCTGTCGCTGGCAACGCCGTCGACCTGTCGTCAGCCGGCTCGCGACTGGACGATCGTGAAGAGGACCGGTTGCGGCGGCAGATGGCG